GGGGGGGGGGGGTCGTAAACAGGAAAAAGAACACGGAAATAAATTATTTCGGAGACAGATCCGTAACAGTGAAACTGCAAAAAATACTGAACTACAAAGAGAGAGAGGGGGGGCGGGGGGCAAAGTCTCTAAGTGGATCAAATTTTGGAAAAAGGAACCAACGCAATTACAGTGTTGTAAAAAGATTGCTTCTTCATAATTATCAAAGAAATCTCCCAGAATAACAAATGGACTACATTTTGCAATTTGGAACTATAAATTCTAGCTCAGTTTAAAAACACTGTATGTGCCATTAGTTTCCCAATGCATATGAGTGTTTTTTCAGATGAGCCATTTATAGTTCCAAATTGCAAAATGCAGTCCAAATAATTCTGGCTTCTCGCGAAACAATTGTTAATTTTGAAGGAAAATACTGAAGGTAAAGTTCTAACATTGTACATAGATTATAAGTAATTTTAAAAGTATAGAAGAAGGTGCACGATCTTGAAAACACTGTAATCGCGCTGGTTCTTTTTTGCTGAATGCGATCCAAGAGAATTGCGTAGTTCCACAAACAAAAGCGGTACGGGTATGATAATATTAATATTATTTCTTGGTGAGGTGTGGTATAAATATTTTTCTTCGAAATATTTAGATAGTTTTGATGAAATTGCGATTAAAATTCAGGACCACGACCACAAATTCCCCACAAAATTCTCGTTTTATTTCACGAATTTTGGCAACGTCCGAAGGCTCATATAAGACGTTCTTTCGCAATTCAGAGTTCGGACTGACGGGATTTGAGTGTTGACTTCAAATATTTTTTCTGCCCATTAATTTTTCTGGTTATCGATGAGAGGTATTCTCCAGCTGAGCCCGCTCTCCCTAGATCAGGGTGTCTACAGGTCCGGAAAACCCGGAGATTACTCTTTTTTTAGGGTGGCTCCAGTGGCGTAGCGTGCTTTGCGATATATCGATTGTTATGCCATTTAAACCTATGGAAAATGATCGATGAATAGGGTGTTCGCTACGAACACCTTAATAATCGATTCTTTACCATAGGTCTAAATGGCAGAACAATCGATACATCGCAATTCACGCCACGCCACCGCGTGGCTCGGAAGCACTCGTAATGCGTGGTTTTTAATGACAGCCTGGAAAGTATGCAATCTCTTGCGCACTAATTCTTTGTCTTGCATCAACACACGATTTACTTTCCTTCTCAAGCGTTAAAGTCTCCTAGTGATTCTGTCGTGCCAAGGGAGAACGACGTGCGAGCATTCGAAACTTGCCAAATTTCCTCCAGTAAAATGTTTATTTTTGAGAAAAGTTATGAACATTTTTCCTTGAAATTTTCAGGAGCTTTAGGTGAAATTGCAATCAACATAATCTGAAAAATTGGGAGAAAAATATTCACAAGTTTACCAGGAAATTCGTGTTTTATAAATGAAAATTTGAACTAAATTGAAAACTACGGAGAGAACTGAGCCATGGACCAAGTTTATTCTCTTGGTCCATGACTGAGCACGAGGATACTTTTGGTTCATAGATTGATTAATTACTGAAAGAGATACGACAAAATGATTTAATCCGCTGGAATACATGTTTTGAAATAGAAAATCAAGTTCAGCGAATATTGCATAACACAATGTCGAAAAGGTAGTAGCACTGAATATATTGGTATGTAGGGTGTAGCCAAGTGCTAGAGAAAATGTAACAATTTTATAAAAAAAAAAAAAGACACTTACATTTTATTAATAAACTTTGACCGAAACTTTTCGAAGCAAGCGCTTCATCGTCAGGGTCACAACACAAAGTATATATCGCGAGCAAATAGTAAAATCAGGCATTTTGTCAAATGCCGAGGCAAATAATCAAATAAATTAACATAGATTGAAATTTTGATTATTTTCCTAATTTTAGACAAAATATGTAATTGCTCCCGTAAGAAAAAATTATCAGTAAAAATTCGCATCAATCAAAAGTATTTTAAATGATTTTTAGCTCCTGAGCAGCCACTTATCTTGAAAGCAGCATGTCATAAAAAACAGAATTTTTAGAATTTCAACGTTTAAAAATATGAGAAGCAATCGAAGAGGCATCGACAAAAAGAGTTCGTAGGTTTAATGAGATATTTTTCCCTAAAATATTGAAAACTCGTGAGATCTCCGCCATAAATTCACAACATTTTGTAGACTTTCAAAATTTAACTATCTGCCCAGGCATTTGATAAATGCCTGATTGCCTTCCCCCCCTGCCTGCTGCCTGATGCCTTTTGCCTTCGACATAAACATCACAAAGGCCATAATACGCAAATGCATGTCCGTAGCCATATATGACCAATTTTGGACCAAAAAAATTGGACCAATAAGAATCGTCTGAAAAAAATCGTCATTTATTTCAAACGTCACGCCAAGACTTAAACGAAATGGAGCGTTTCGTCGCTTCTCGATATATAGTCTGTAGCAAAGGAGCGTGCCACTATAACGAGCGATAACACTATAATTCCCTGGTTTAACACGGAATTCCCATGGGAACGAGTGGAATAGTCATAACAAGTTGGGTAGTAAGGTGATGACCGGACATTCCTGTGCTTCGCTCCACCGTACGCCAGCAGCGCCGCGCCGCGAGAGAAGCGCTGAATTCCTGAAAAGACAAAACGCCTTCACCTTCGTGAGTATGCAACATGAACATCCATTTGAGCCCAAATAGTTGCATCCAGAAGTTTAAATGAAATTCGTTCAGTGTTCGTCACATTTGCCACAAACTGAGGACGCTTTCCTTGTTTCTCTTACTTTAATTCCAGTGTTACCTATTGTACCAATGAATTTAACTATTTTTATCGCGCCTCCGTCAAGTTAATTTTGATCTGATTTTGATATAGAGTGGGACTCTCAGGATAGCGTGGGGGAATCCCCTCCTAACGACCTCCACTCTGAGAGCACTTACAACCAGTGGCACCATCGTGTTTCTCGCAAAATTTTACCTAAGATACAGTACTCAAAGCGCAAATTCCTGACACATCCTCGATAACAATTGACTATAGGATCTGTTTTCCAAAATACCAGAGACCTATAGGCGGCTATAAGATTTCTCATAGTTTTATATACCCGGCTATAGAATTTCTTACAGCTTTTTATGGCTGGCTGTACAATTTCTTACAGCTTTTCATAGCCGATGGCAATGAGGATATCATCAGCTGTATGAGCAAGCAATGAGAACTATTGCCCGGCTATATAATTTTTTATCGCTTCGCACAGCCTGGCTGTGCGATTCTCTATCGCTTTCTATCGCCCTCTATAGCCAGCTATAAGAATTTCTATGGTATTTTGGAACGCAGCTCCTCTATTAGCCAGGGTCGCGCGGGTGAAATGGAAAATATGAGTTATCGATTTCCGCGAAATATTTCATGAAATTTCACAAAGTTTGGAAAAAAATGAAACATATTTTCAGGGGCTGGATATGCAACACGCACAAAAAAATACCAAAAAGCAAAAGTCAGTCGCCTTTCATTTAATTTTGCATTTAATTTCGAAAAATATTTTTCATATTTTTCCGAAACTCCATGAAATATTTCAGATGAAATTTCAAGAATTTATTTTTAGTACCTGAATTGCAGTAGACGCACAAATCATTTAGACAGAAAAAGTTGGTGACTTAGCCAACAAGCGTTAAAAAGCGTGCAGCGTCCACTGAGGATGGACCCAATCAGACCCGAACCCCCGAACTGTCTCACAGTGGATGGAGTCAATCAGAGAGGTCGGACGTGAAATTCTTGACTGAAACTGCACTTTTTTATATTTATCTCGTCACATTTTAAACTCTGAGGGGTGCTTCTAGCAGAAAATTTTACCAGGAAACCAATGAAACCACCTTTAAACTCTCAAAGTTATGTATGAACGGAGTTATAAGCGTTTAAAGTTTCCAAATTTTGTCCGACCTCTCCTATTGACTCGATCTATCGTGTGTCTGCAGTTACCCTCCTGAATGGTCGTGACTATAGTGTTGCACCGAACAGAACATCTCTTTGAGGGAAAACTGTGCTCATATGAACTTGTTCCCTCTGTATTGAGATTTTCAGCATTATGCAGATTTTTAACGCACGTTGGTTACGTCACCAACTTTCTCTGACTTTATTTTTCATGAAAAATTGCAACTCTGCCAATAGCCAATGGAGATGTTGCATGTGTAGGGAATTTGCGATTTGACAATTGATTCTTATGTAAAAGTTCGCAAGAAACACGATAGTGCCATTGGTTTTCCCTAAAATCAACTCCTAAGCTCCAAAAAAACTCTCAAGTTGAGAGCGTAATGGAAGGGATATCCCACGCTATCCTGAGAGTCCACCTCTACATCACGACGAACTCGCTATGCAAAGATAGGGAGCAAATATATTGACAGGGCTGCTACTTTATTTGGGGACTCTAAAACTGAAAACACGGCAACCCTGCTAATGTATTTGCTCCCTATCTTTGCATGGAGAGTTTGTCTTGATTAGGCGTGGACTCTCAGGATAGCGTGGGATATCCCCTCCATCTTGGCCTCAACTTGAGAGCTTTTTTCGAGCTTGGGAGTTGATTTCAGAGGAAACTAGTGGCACCATCGTGTCTCTCGCAAACTTTTACATATGAACCAAAAGTCAAATCGCAAATTCCTCACACATGCAACATCCTAATTTTGACCAGGGATGCAAGAGCTCCGTACCTTGCGTGTCCGGCGGGTTGCAGCAATGACGGGGCAGCAACGGCACTTGCTTTGTATACGAGGCAGCACTCTGTTCCCACGGAGAAAGCTTTCCGTCTCGGAGTCGGCGCGGGTAGCGAAGCAAGGAGCGGATCGTCGCTTCGTCAGTCATCTGCGAGGATCCGAGCCACGCGTGTCTAGTGTCTTTGTCGCCGTGCGAAGTCCGATGCGCGCCCGCTGCGACGATTCCTGCGCCCGGCCCACGATACCCGTCCCTAATGATCAGAGCCGGCTCCAACTACTTCTTCCGCGGTAAAATCACCCTCTTGATCCCCCGCGCTTCGCTCCCGCTTTTCACCCCCCGCCCCCTTCGCCCGTGTAAATATTATGTTTTTAAGTGCCATCTACTACGCTGCCGCGCTCGTCGTCCTAGGAGCTTGTGCCACTTCTCAAGATAGTTTCGCACCTATAAAGGTTGGTTTCGAGTCATTTGTCTGTTTTCATACTGGGGAAGAAAAACACATCTAGAGTCCAGACTCTTGAAAACATCGACAAGAAAAAATACTCTTGATTCAATCAGATTTAAGCTTGAATCAAAACGAAATCCGCTTAAATTGGACGTATTTCTGCCAAACGGAACTATGTGCATCAAGAAATGAACCCTGATACCCATAAGGATATATGAATAACAGGGCTCACGTCGTAATGCACACAGTTCCGTTTGGTAGAAATACGTCCATTTAAGAGGCTTGGTTCTTGATTTAAGCAAAAATCTGATTGAATCAAGAGTACTTTTCCTTGTCGATGTTTTTAAGAGTCTGGACTCTAGATCCAATGTGTTTTTTTTTCCAGTGCATGGGAGATTTCCACAAGGGGTCGATACTGCCTTTCTAAGGAAAAACGCCGTATGAACATTTTAGAGTTGCCAAAATTCCTCTGATAAAACGTCTATTTTTGAGGAAAGTTACGCATATTTTCCCTTGCAATTTTCAGAAACTTTAGATCGAATTACAATCAAAATTCTCCACAAAATTAAAAGAAAAATATTCATAAGTTTACCAGGGAATTCGTGTTTCATCAAAGGAAATTTGGCAACGCCTGAAGGCCCATACGGCGTTCTTAATTAGCACGGCAGGATAACAAGCCTGATCATACGAGCTAGGTTTTTTGCTCCGCAGCCCGTGACAAGATATATAATATAATATAATATAATAATAACAAATTACACAGCCGGTAACAAGACTAATGTTCTCGTAATTATCACCAAAACGTTTCGGCTGAAAACTCAACCTTCTTCAGTTGGATAATAACAGCTAAAACTTGTAAAAATCTGAAAACATAGTGGTTGGCTGTACCTTTCAAAGCGAGAAAAATGTTTTTTTGAAAGAAATGTTGATAACACAGTCACCGCAAAAAAATAAATAAATAAAAATGGATGTTATCAAGACTGTGATACTGTGTTATCAAAATTTCTTTTAAAACAACATTTCCCTGGTAAAAATTGGCAGTAGAATCTGTGTTTCAAAATACCATAGACTTACAGCCGGCTGTAAGATTTCCAATAGCTTCTATAGCCGGCAGCACAATTTCTTATAGCCTTTTATAGCCGATGGCGATTAAGCAACAGCCTGGCGATAAAGTGTATTCTAAACGTTACTAATTACGGATGCTAGGACTTAGTGAGTTTTTGGACTACCGTTTTTTTGTGGGCCGCAGTATCTTGATTTAATTTGCGAGGAAAGCTCCGTTCTTTTTAAGGATGCCTGACATTCCTAATATGTTGGAGCGCCTTCAATTTCGTATGATACTGTGCAATACCTCTGGTGTGAAATAGTTGCTTCAAGCGCCGCGGCGGGCGGGCAGCCAACGCTGAACGCGCATTGGCGCCTGCAAACCTAACAGGGATACTTCACGCATTGCGCAATGCGTGAAGTATCCCTGTTAGGTTTGTAGGCGCCGGTGCGCCGCCGCTCCGCTTTGTGTTAGGCTCTAATATTTAATCTCGCGGAGTCAGCGTTTTTCAACTCATGACTTTGAAATGTTTGCACACTCTGTATGGATTATTCTCATTTTAATTGACGAAAAAAAAATATTTAGTAAAGGAAAATATAATGTGCGTTTCGTAAATATTAAGGTGATTCCGTACAAACTTAAGGATTTACAAAGCACAAGAATTTCTACTCGATTTCTTATAGCCTTTTATAGCCGATGACGAAAAAGCAACAGCCAGGCGATAAAGTGTAAAGCCCGGCGATAGGAACTATAGCCCGGCTGTATAATTTTTTATCGCTTCGTGTAGCCCGGCTGTATGATTTTTTCCACTTTCTATAGCCAGCTATATGATTTTCTATCGCCCTCTTCAGTCGGCCATAAGAACTCCTATGGTATTTTGAAACGCAGCTCCTATCGCCAATTTTTACCAGGGTTTTCTCACTTTGAAAGGTACCTATAGTCAAGCACTACGTTTTCAGATTTTTATAATTTTACTGTTTTAGAGAATTTTTCGGTAAAAGGGCGTATTGGACTTCATTGCTGCTAAAACTCGTCGATTCCCAACGAAAGAACGCAACTACAAATCAATGTTCTCAAATTTCCCCTCAAAAATTGCATTTTAACAAAATAATCTTAGGATTTTCCAACTAAAAATTCAGTGAGTTTTCTTCTGATCTACAGCAAAAATCAGTCAATTTTTTACTAAATCTGCACATATACAGTCTTGTAAAAAAGTAAATTGTACGAGTAAATTTTGCAACCTTGGAATGAAGTTAGGTTTCTGCGTCCGGCAAACGACGGATTATGCAACGCAACTTCTAAGTAACGTATATTTCGTAAGTTGTAGGTAACTTATCCGACAGTTCTGCTATCAATTTTTCCCGGAATATTGCTCCGAGTTTATCCTCACTATGAAGAGCAAGTAAGCCGACTGTGAATGAATTTCATCTGCCGAAATCGCTATGAAAAATTGCACAATCTAACAGCATTGCAAGACTCATACGCCCTTTTACCGAAAAAGTCTTCAATTATGGAAAGCTCTCGGTTTTTTTATTGGGAGGGGGGGATGTCGACCATAGAAATGGTAAAATGAGCGTGGATTAATCGCTTTTTATTACATTCTAAAATTTTCTTCCCACCGGTCGACCAAAAAACTTGTCGACTAAAAAGAAAGTCATTACTATTTGTGGAAGCACTTTTTCGGGGCTCACGTGAAATTGTGGAGATCAGGGAATGTTATTGGCCCTTGTTTTTCACGACGAAATTCTATTGCTTCTCATGAAAGTGCCCCATGAGCTGAGGTCGCTATTTTTTTTATAATTTGTTTTGGAGAGGTTTTTTTCTAATATTGGAAATAGAAGGAAAAATATTTTATAGTGAGAAAAATTTGCCGCCGTGTGACTTAATGGGGTGTCATTCCTTACATGAACAAATCGATGGCCATAGTGTGAAACCACATATCGACGGTGAAACTACCAAACCACGTATCTCGGTTTGCGACGTCGCAGACTTCCTGTCATACTTTATTTTTTAAATGAAAAACTACTTAACATCCAGTCTTGAAAATTTCTGTGATTTTTCCTCTTTGTGCGGAGAAAATTCCGTGAAAATTTTAAGGAATGATATTGAGTTGGTCTACTTCAAAAAAATAAAATGTGAGCGTAGATTTTTAAACACCGCAAACGAGATACGTGGTTTGGTAGTTTCACCGTCGATATATCCTTTTGCGACGTTGCAGAGTTCCTGTCATACTTTATTTTTTCTTTGGTAATCTCGTCAATGGTAATTTTTGAAAACTCCTTTGATTTTTTTTCTATGTCAGAGGGGGATTCTGTATAAAATTTTATGAAGTTACCTTATTACTTAGAACAAATGGAGAAAAAGCGGAAATTGGGAAACGCCGCAATGGCGGTATGTGGTTTCGATCTTTGCCCATCGACATGTATATTACTCGGATAGATTATCCTGTCAATATACTTGCGTCAATAATTTATCAGTGAAGGAATCGAGGATATTCTCATGTTCTGTTCACCTAGTAGGTTCCAAAAATGAATGTTTTTTCCTCCATTCTGCTTTCAGACGCATGTAAAATCTCTATTAGACGGATTTAATTTAACTTAGACTGATTGCATTTCACGATGTATAATGTCTCCTCGTATTTTCTTTTTTTTTGGGGGGGGGGGGGGCTTGAAAGTAGGCAAATAATGCTAAGATGTTTTCCGCAAATTCCTCCTGCATCAAAAGAATGTATAATCGTAAAAATTTCAAAGCAGAGAATTGTGCTTACTTTCTTGACATAATGTAAAAAACAGGAAAACTTGGGCAGCGTGTGCTGCAGTTAGGCTCTGAATTGCCTGATGAAAATAATTTTAAAGGTTCCCCCATTTTAATTTTCCACAAATTCAGGCAGGACGCTTGGACGCATAGGCGATGTCACGCGGAAATTTTACACATTCAAATAAGAATAATTAAATAATGGTGTCAGAAGTGTGCAAAAACCAAACAGACAATTAATCAAAGAGGATAGTTTTGAGTAGTACAGATGAAAGCAATAGAGAATTTGCAGGTGTCTGAAATTTCGTGAATTTCATCTTTAGAATGATGCTGCTAGGAAAACTGAGTACGAGGATATCCTTGGTTTCTAAATTGTACAATTATTGGAGAAAATATGACAAAATAACCTAATCTGCTAAAATACATGTGTTTAAATGGTAACTGCCGCCAGATGACGTCATAAGGCGGCACATTTTCTCACTTTTAAATTAATTTTTCTCCGATTTCCCATGTAAGAAAAAAATTATGAAAAATACTGCGAACTCAGCTGATTAAACACTCTCAGATGAAGTCATAACATTTTGGTGTGCAAAGTGTCCATTGTGACACTGCCCGAAAAATCATGACAAAGAAGTTTTTTTTGAATCTCACGTCTATGATCTTATAAAGTGCGTATTAAAATGAGACTCGTCGGTTACATGGTTCGTAATATTTTGTTATGACGCTGGAACGCTGCCTCCAGGCGCTGGCTATTACAATTTCTTGGTTTTAGTCGGTACCTCTTCAATAATTTCCAACCAGAATGGACACGATAAGTGGGTGCTGTCACAGCCGCCTACATTTAGCCCCAAATCGGTCAAATTAGTGCAGCGTTACAACATGATCCAGTTGCAATGGACTACGTTGCAAAATGTTTTTTCGGTATTCCAGAGAGTAATTGGGGAATACTACCTGTCACGCAGTAAACATACTATTGTTGTAATATAGGCATATCGATGGCTATAGTACGAAACCACTTATCTCCGTTTGCGACGTTGCAGACTTCCTGTCATACTTTATTTTTCACTTGAAAAACTGGACCGTGTTAAGCAGAAAGAAACCGAGTCACATCAGCTATCGCCAAATTGAACTGGATAATTTAATTTTTTATATGACAACGATTGTGCGGATACTTGTGCAAATTTCAGTGATTTTCTGTATAGTTCAAAGCAAATTTCTTAAAATTCTTGAAAGAATTCGCAAAAATGTTCTCTTGTAAAAAATTAAATTGCCCGGTTAAATCTGGCAATAGCTGATGTGGCTTGGTTCCTTTCTGCTTAACGCGGTCCAATTGAGCCTCGGGGAAAAATTAAATGTTTGTGGCGGAAGATAGGAGGAAATGAAGGGGATAATGAAAAACCAAAGTGACCATGTTTCAAATATTTAAAAATTATTATTTTTGCCAGTAAAAAATAGCAAATTTAAAATTTTTAGCTACAGCCCCATTTATCCAATTTCCCTTAAAGACCTCTCCCCTTGGCATCCTGTACTGATCGTTTGCTGACCATGTGCAAAGTTTTCGGGTGGGCAACGCTGGTTGGGGAGGGGGGGCGCTGATACAATACATTTAACTAACTGCGTAGGGCGTAATGGTCTCGTCTCCAATCGTTAAACGTTGTTTTCCTGCGATTATTTGTCAGACTTCATTTCCACAGATATTACTTTGAGATATGGAGTGATACAGGTCGATGTAGTAACTCGAACCTGTCCTGTATCAGACAAACTATGTTTATTCCTGGTTTTTCTTTTGCTAATTTTGCAACAACATCGAATCTGAACCTTATGTCACCCGACGAAAATTTATATTCGACCGAACATTTGTCCACTACGTACTTATCCACGCCTACATAAATTATTATTCATACATATCCAATTATTCTGTTATGCTGCTTACGAAACTTTAGTTAATTAGTTCTATGTTGAAATTTGTATTTATGATAATTAGTTGGACCACATTTTGCAATTTGCAACAATAAATTCTAGCCCGGTTTAAAAACAACGTATGTGCCATTAGTTTCCCTACGCACATAAGTGTTTTTCCAGAGGAGCCAGAATTTATAGTTCCAAATTGCAAAATGCAATCCAGTTGATCTTCACTCCTGATGTTGTAATCGGAAGTTTCACCGCAATCACACGCTGAATGTGGGAGCTGAATGTGGCTTAATTGAATGTGGAAGTCATCGGCCCGATGCCTGAATTTTGCGCGTCACGCGCAAAATTCAGCAACGATTCTCAGCAACCATCGGACCAGTTTTGAATTTGTCTGAACTATTCGAGTAGATTTAATACACATCTGGATGAAAATAACTCGAATTTGCTAAATTTTAGCCGTTGGGCGATGACTGTTGACTTCCACATTCAGGTGCTAAATTCAGCGTCTGATTGCGGCATTTCTGGCGTTATTGTATTACTTCATAAGCCGATAAAGCTGCAAAAAAAGCTAAAAGATTTGTTGGATGTTTTGTTGGACAGGCGAAACGGCAGATATACCGTGAGCAGGTTCTGCCGGCGTTCGGTGGGAAAATCCCGGAGGACGCGTTTCGGGTGGACCGGCTGGCGCTGAACCGGCTGAACGCCCTGGGGATCTCGATACCGGACGGAGTGCTGCTGGAGCACCGCCCGGAGGAGAAGCACCACGGCTCCCACCGACACGACCCTGATCTCGAGGCCTCCGTCATCAAACTCGTCCAGACCCCGGACGGCCGCTACGTCCCGCCGGAGGGACAACACACCCACAACCACAACCAGGTACCGCACGCAATTTAAATTACACTCAAAAAAATTACATATGTCTAAAAATCCAGCTATTGTTTGTCCCGCCCACCAACGTCAGACCAAATGCAACATTCAACATTTCCTTGAATTTGTCAGCTTTTCACCTTTTGACACTGGCGTAGGGGGAGGAACTAACAACTAAATTAACAGTTATACATACTACGTATATACAAATTTAGTTATAAGCTAGAGTCTAAAGTTAGACTCAAAAGTTCAAAGTCCATTTACTAATCATATTTTAACCTTATAATGTAAAAACAAGTAATACTCTGTAGTTTTTTTCATAAATAAAAAATTAAAAAAAAAAAAAAAAAAAAAAAAAAAAAAAAAAAAAAAAAAAGTATGGGAAGAGTGACTTATCGGCCGAGTTATGGATCATGGAGCCATAAAATATAGTTCGTGGAGCCATGCTCATAGGTTCACGACCAATGAAGTATGGCTCAGAAAGCCATACTGTAGACGGTAAGTCATTTTGGTTAGAAATTATGGATCTCCGAGCTACTTTTTATGGGTCTCAGAGTCATACCTTTTTGTGAGTGTAGTAATGGGTCATTCCATGTAAAATGAGCAAAAAATAAGTAATTTTTTTCATGACCTTCTTCATTAATGGAGAATTCTGCCGTGCTAAGGAAAAACGCCGTATGAGCCTTCAGGCTTTGCCTCATTTCCTTTAATAAATCACGAGTTTTCGAGCACATTTGTGAACGTTTTTCCTCAAATTGTTCAGTTTATTTTCTTCGTAATTTCAACTAAATACTGTGAAAATTCCAAGGAAAAATATCCACAAAATAAGGAAGACTCCCAAGGGTAACTTGCATAAAAAATACGACAGATTTCTAAATCCTAATTTGGATAAGAGGTACAAATTTTTAAGTCCAGGTATACATAGGTGTATTTATATTCTCTAAAATACAGGTTCGAAGTATTTTTCACGTTGTCATTATTCGCAAACACCACATAGAGGCTGCCGCACTTCTTTAATCGCAGGGATTTTTATCGCTACTTTTCTGTTTCTGCGTTTAAGTCTCCTCGGAAGTTTCAAGAACTAGTGAAGGCCGATGTTCTATTTACCTCCAAGTAAACGAGAACTCCTATATGACTGATAGGGATGCAGGTTGTCTGTATCTAACTCAAAGCCCTCTATTTGAATTAAATTTCTCGCTGTTTTGACATGGAATTGCTCATTCTTCTAGCAAATTTGAGCAAATTGAAACAATACATAATTACCGGTCACATCTTGTGTCAAGTAGAATACAATGACCCAATCAGCCAATGCGTTTAAGCACGAAGAAACTTGTTTTAAAGAAAAGTGTATCCCGTTAAATCTTTTTTTCTCAAATAAATGATTCAAGGAAACATTTAATTTTTATTTTTATTTTCAGGTGGAGTCAACTTACGTCATCAGACCTCCGGTAGGATACAAGCATCACGTTCAACCTCAAAAACCCCGCCCAGGGACTATCTCAATCCCCACAAATCAAAACTACAACTTGCAGAGTTACAACTTGCAAAGTCATAACTTGCAGAGTCATAACTTGCAAAGTTACAACTTGCCAAGTCACAACCTGCAGAGTCACAACTTGCAAAGTCAAAACTTGCAGAGTTACAACAACCCATCAAGTTACGATAATCACGCCACCTATGGATATAACGACGTGTACTCGTTCATGAACCAATACGATGTTCCTTCCTTCTACAGCAAGCCCTCCATGTCCCAGGTAAGACTTGAATTGATTAAATATTTCCATATGTCGAGACGTCAAGACCCATAAAGTCTTTTCGGGCATGCACTCTTCACGACAGCATCTCATTCAGTCTCCTGACTACAGTTCTAAATTTTGTTTGCAAATCGATGAAAAGGAGGTACAATTTCATTTGTATAACTTTATTTTTATCTCATTGGATTGGCGTTTTCTACATTTAACCTACATTGTTGAAAAAGCGGGAAGTTTTGATTAAAAATTCTCTCTTTAGCACATTGAAACCGATGTCGATGAATTTTCTCTCCTACAGGAAGGTGTTGGGAAGTATCAAGTATTCAAGTGAGAGACACGGCTGGAAAACAAGGCGAATAAGTGCAGTTTTTGAACAAAATTGAGATATCAATGATTCTCAGTAAAACTAGTCTTAATACATATTCTGTAAAATATTCGCTCTGAAATTCCAATATTTTTAAACATCAAAAAATCAGTTTGAACTTTCTCTCCGCCGTAAGGATTCATGTAATTTCGAAACTTCAAATACGTATTTCTCAAAATACCAAAAACTGCACTTATTCTCCTTAGCCTCCAAGCCTCGCAAATGTATTTTTGTACAGTAATCAATTCTTATCATGAAAAAATAGCTGAAAAAACAAAACAAAAAAATGCGTGTCTTAGCCCCGCGTTAACATTCCAGTCCGGATGACACTTCCATTCAAATAATGGGGGCTACGCTGCTGTATACCTCTGACCACTTACGCGGTCCAAGCTCCCAGACGGCGCTTTCACACACTCTCTGCCGTGCTAAGGAAGAACGCCGTATGAGCCTTCAGATGTTGCCAAGTTTTTAGTTTCCTCCGATGAATATCGAATTTACTGAGACAATTGTGAATATTATTTTTCACAATTTTCAGACAATTTTGTACGCAATTTTATCTAAAATATCTGAAAATTTCAAGGAAAAATATGCACAAACGTTATCAAAAATACATGTTTTATTAAGGAAAATTTGGCAACTCTCGAATGTTCTTATGGCGTTTTTCCTTAGCATAACAGCTCGTGTGCCTCCACTAGTTTATCTAAATAAATCGGGCTCTTCTAGTGACTGCCTTATCGATAGCCGCAAAAGTAATGCAAACCGGCCCGTCAGATCTTGAGAACGAAACGTGATAAAAAATGAAAATTTAGGGGGTCAAAAAGCTTATACATAGTAATGGAGAATTTGCAGGTGTCTGAAATTTGATGAATTTAATGTGAAAGTGGAAAGTCCTGAGTGAACTGAGCACGAGGATACTCTTGGTTCATAAATTGAGTAATTTTTCAAGGAGATATGACAAAATGATCTGACCTGCCAAAATACATGTGCTTAAATGGGAAATGCCGCCAGATGACGTCACTAAGCGGTGCATTTTCTCACTTTTAAATCAATTTTTAGACTATTTCCCATTATAGAAAAAAATGACATAAAATACTGCATAATCAGCTCTTTAAGCACTCTCAGATGAAGCACTAAAAAATTTGCGTGCAAATCCTCCACTGACTGAAAATCGGCTTCTTAATTTTACCAAGAAACACGCCTTTTCGCTCGGGATGAGAACGTAGCGTTTAATCGATGGTCATGCATGGTTTCGGGAACGATCTGACATAAGCTCGCGGAAATTGGCAGCATACGTGGTTTACGCGACGATGACGGTGAAAGGAGATCGACGTGGAAAAAACCCGGTTCATTAGCGAGAAGCTTTTAATAAAGCAGTCCCTCCTTGAACTCTAGTCCCTATACTTTTTTTCGATTCCCGGACGACTTTCTCCATTCCCTTATTCGCTCTGGACGTAACCCTGTCCGAGCTCGTACTGAAAACTGCGAAGTCGATGAAGTAACAGTCGCCTCCGGTCTGCGAGTGCCCAACTGGAGACACTCAAGACGAATCTACAGAAAATTGAGGCATGAGAGCAGTGGCGTAGCGTGCTCTGCGATATATCGATTGATCTGCCATTTGAAGCTATGGGAAAGGATCGATAAACAGGGTGTTCGCGACGAGCACCTTAAGAATCGATTCTTTACCATAGCTTCATATGGGGAAATATCGATAGCGACCATTCACGCCTCGCCAATGCAAGAGAGATAATGATCAAAAGGGGCTTGTCGCCATCGAGATGGTTACAGGCATATAGGACTCATCCAGTGGCGTGGCGTGCTTTGCGATACATCGATTAATCTTCCGTTTAAACCTATGGAAAAGGATCGATAAACAGGGTACACCTTAATAATCGATTTTTTACCATAGCTTCAAATGGGCATCCAGGACTCTCCCTGCATCGTTCCCTCGCACTTCTGCAGAGCAAAGGCATGCTTGAAACAGGGAACTGACCGGCTGGGTTGGCCTAGTGGTCAGCGCGTCTTGCTAGGTCTCAGTAGACCCGGGTTCGAATCAATGAGAGTATCTGCAGAAACAGACTCCATTCGAGCAGTCTTACAATGAATCCACGGAGGTTTGGATTGCATGGAAGCATGTATGTCCCTTTTCTGTGATTTTCTAAGACAATAAATAGAGAGTATAGAGTAGGCAGACATTTCCTGACGGAATTTAAGTTATTTACCAGCGGAAAAAACCGGGAAATCATTCATCCTAACCAATATCAAAAGCCTTTTATGTGATGTGCTACCGTGCCATGATTAAAGAGAAAAAAAACCACAATATACTGGCCTAAATAGGTGTTCTCCGTAAGTAGTATTATTTTAAAATTGTACATTGCACGTATTGAGGAATACAATTATGCAAGAATAATTTTAAAAAAATACGAATATTAACGTGTAAAAAAGAGGAAGCATATAGGACCTGTCCATAACACGTCATGTAGGTGATTAAGCTGATGTTAAAGATTTAGTCTGAATGCATTTTCCCATAGGCACTGCCAAACTACTCCATAGCAGCGCAGGTAAAGTGAAGCAAACGTTAAATTCAGAGATAAATACGAGCTGCCATTTAAATCAAAGGAAAAGGATCGATAAACAGGGTACTCGCAACGAACACCTTAATAATCGATTCTTTATACCACAGTTACAAACGGGGTAGTCGACAATCGACCATTCACGCCTCGCCACTGATACTAGTACAAAAACTTTGCGGACGGAAGGTTTCCTCGACTTTTAATGACGAATCTCTGTGCCGACAAAGCCTCATACTGCCATGCTAAGGAAAAACGCCGTATGAGCCTTCAGGCGTTGCCAAATGTACTTTGAAAAAGTAATACTTTGAAAAAGTAAAAATTTCTCAGTATGCTTCTGAAAACTTATATTCCAGTTTAATAGCAATTTTTGTTCGCAATTTCACCTAAATTTCTTGAAAATTTCAAGGAAAAATATTACGCAAACTGATCGCGATGGACGCACGGGTCGTAAGACGGTATATGTTGGAGTTTTTTTTTTTCTTTTTCTGTGGTGAGATATTAGCTTTATGCTAAATTTAACGCACGTTGGCTAAAAAATTCCAACATATACCGAAAAATATTAACAACTTTCCCAAAAAAAATAAACATATCGAAGAAAGTTTGGCAACTCTCGAATGTTCATGCGGCGTTTTTCCCTAGCATGGCTGCATAGCTCCCGGTTTACAACGGATAATATTAAGTCCAGTGAGCGCTATCCCAAACCTCATAATCTACGTAGGCAAAGAGATAATCATTCCATATCCATGCTCGGTCCTGGAAAATAACTGACATTATCCTTCCTCATAAAAGTCCTTATACTCCATCATGCACGATAGAATAAGGTGCCTGAAAGCTATGTCTCTATTTTGTACTCGTATCTTTGATTCCAATCTTTAATTATCTTTTTTTCCCCCGAATAAGTCGGGATACTAAAGAGAGGACATTGCGTAACCACCTCAGTCACTCTCCCGGGGGCTATTCCGTAAGAACTTTTAAACATCTTCGGAGCCGAACGGACTCCGAAAATTTACGATCGCATCCATCGTCGCTTTTTTAAAACCTCAGGTGTTGGTAAAAGTGGTCGCATGTAAAGAAACAGACCGAGTGAGATTGATTCGACGAGTCCCTTGGAGAGATGGCCTCATCGCACAGTGAGACAGCTCGAATCAAATATTCGCTGTGATAACTCGACGAGGTTTATGAGTCGACAAATTCATTTTAGTGCTACTGAAAAGTACAGTGGTGCTATCCTAAAATCCGCCTTGAAGAGCTTCAGGATCGTGGTAATCTCAGCTCACGATCAGATGACTTACTGTTGGACCATTCATAAAAGCACCTATCCGCATTGGGAAACTGATGACCATGGGTTGTTCTTAATAATGAGCCGGAAACAGTAGTTCCCAATTATAAAATTTAGTTCACTGGGCTTTATAACGTTTAAGAATACGTAGCAATGACTGAATTTAATAATCGTATCTAAATCTGCTACAGTATAAGACTTTTAATATTCTTTACTTTCATTTTTTTATTTTTAAATGAACAAGTAATAGACCGCGTTTAGCAAAAATGAACCAAGTCACATCAGTTTTTGCCAAATTTAACTGGGCGATTTATTTTTTTTCAAAAGAGAACGTTTGTGCTGATTCCTTTGACAATTTTAAAAAATTCGCTTCGCACTATGCAGAAAGTTCACTAAAATTTGCACAAAAATCCGCACAAACCTTCTCTTGTAATAAATTAAATTGCCCGGCGAAATTTGGCGATAGCTGACGTGGCTTGGTTCCTTTCCGCTTAACGGGGTCCAAATGTCATTCGACGGGGGCGGGCGGGTGGCGGAAGCGAAACTTTTTAGACCTACATAACAGCAGAGCTTCACTGTTGATGCGTTCCGGTTGATTGAGTATTTCAATATTTCATGCTCATAGTATTTCAGCTTGAGGAATATATTGCTCATCGAATTAGGTATGCAAAGTATTGCAAAAATTGAACAATCTTTGAACTTTGCCTCCTTCCGCGTTCTTCGCCCAGTCTGCGCGTCGGGCAAAAATTCCAATTCGCATCGGAACCTCTTTAGGCCACCGAGCTGCGGC